ACGTACGGTCGCCCATTGATTGGCAGGTCGACCATGCCAAGTCGAGGGTGCCCTTGTGTTCTGCCTAGGCCGACCTATGCAACCCGCGTGTCCTTTGGCGCTCTGGGGCCACGTTGCCGTCGAATGGGTCCTGTGCCCTCTCGGGGGTCCTGTGCATTCAATCAAGTCTGGCTGTATCTGTTATCCTCCTGTGCTTGCTGGAAGTGGTGCGTTACATTTGCACGAAGACCAAGCGGCAGCACACCAGATATATCGCCCCCCCCCCCCCCCCCTTTGTGGTGGTAGTTCGCAGGAAATTCAAGCACATGTGCTACTTGATCGCGATCCTGATCCCCACAGCCTCGTGACCCCGTCAGGGGGCGAGGGCCTGGCGGATATCTTGAATACCCAGGGCTGCAAGGGCTGGGGACTCGGGGCCTCGATTCGAGTTTCCTGAGTCCGCTTCGATGATTCAGGAGGCCCTCCTCGTTACCGAGGGAAGCATCTCCCTTCTTTTCGGGCGTATTCGATCGCTTAAGCTTCTTCTCGTTCCTCTGCCCCGCTCTTCTTCTTCGCCCTGCATCCCTGCTTCAGCGTAGTCAGAGCGAACCGATACGCTGGGCGCACTGCGACGGCGTCCGGGCAAAATAACGACAACGCATGCCATCTTTGGCGGATTACTAGCGTTGTCCCCCAGCTGAGCCTCGTCCAGGCTTGGCGATCTTGGCTTACTCGCGAGAATGCGCGCCGCGCCTGCCCTAGCAATGGCTTGTGTGTGTCGCACAGGCTTCCGCATTTCGGGGACGTGCAGAGGCAATGGGGCAAGTAAAAACCATTGTGAAGCCTTTTGCGCCGCTGGGGTCAGGCCTGGAGTCACGGCGGGGAGAAGACTGGACGCGGGACCAGCGAGGGTCTCACCCGACGGGGACTTCGCTGGCCACACGTCCAGCCCGTGGTGACCGGTGGTGGGTCATCAGGTGGTGGGTACATGTGGTGAGTCCTCCTGTAGCAGAGGACACGTGGTGTGTCACTGTGCCCTTTGGTGCCCAATACCGACCTGGTCAGAGCAGGGATCGACGCTACTCCTCAGAGAGGATGCCGCTGGCTGCCTCGAGCATGCCGGGTCCCCGAGGGATCGATTCTCGAGTGTCTCCAGAGCAATCCAGAGCGGCCGCGGCGCCCGATACATACTTTCCCCCCGAGCTCTCAGTGAACTCGCTCGCTAATCTTCGCCTGGTTTTGTCTTTATCATGCCTTCGCTTGGGGAAATGTAGAAGAGGAGAGTGAGGAATATGATGATGATGCTGCTGATGATGAAGTTGATGATGATGATGCTGACGCCGATCTCGATGATGATGATGAAGATGATGATGATACTGACGACGACGATTATGATACTGGTGCTGGTGATGATGATGAGGCTGATGATGATGGTGGTGGTGGTGGTGGTGATGATGATACTGATGATGATTATGACAATGTGGATTCTGACAGTGATGATGCTGCTGATGATGATACTGAAGTTGATGATGATATTGCTGATGCCGACGACGGTGATGCTGATGATGATGATGATGAAGTTGATGATGATGATGATGTTGATGCTGACGACGATGATTATGATGGTGCTGATGATGATGAGGCTGATGATGGTGGTGTTGGTGGTGATGATAATGATGATGCTGATGATGATGATACTGACGATTATGGTGATGATGGTGATGAAGATGCTGATGATTATGATGATGATGATGACGATGACGATGCGGATTCTGATGATGCTGATGATGATATTGCCGATGATGATGCTGATGATGATGATGATGATGAGGTTGATGATGATGATGATGATGGTGCTGGTGGTGGTAATGATGATGATGCTGATGGTGATGATGATGAGGAGGATGGTGGTGGTGATGCTGATGGTTCTGATGCTGATGGTGATGAGGATGATGAGGATGATGATGATGAGGATGATGTGGATGATGAGGATGATGAGGATGATGAGGATGATGGTGCTGATGATGCTGATGAGCGTGATGATTGTGATGACGATGCAGCTGACGATGATGATGATGATGATGATGATGATGATGATGATGATGCGGATTCTGATGATGACGACGATGATGACGATGATGATCATGAAGATAATGCTGATGTGGATGCTGATGATGAAGATGGTGGTGGTCGTGGTAATGATGATTATGCTGATGAAGATGGTGATTTTGATGATGCTCATGCTGATGCTGCTGCTGCTGATGTTGATGATGATGATGCTCATGATGATGCTCATGATGATGATGATGATGATGATGATGCTGATGCTGATGCTGATGCTGATGATTTTGATGCTTCTGCTGATGATGATGATGCTGATGATGATGATGGTGATGATGATGATTGTCGTTATGATGATGATGATGACGATGATGATGCTGATGATGATGATGATGATGATGATGATGATGATGATGATGATGATGATGATGATGATGATATGATGATGATGATGATGATGATGATGATGATGATGATGATGATGATGATGATTATGATGATGATGATGATTATGATGACGAGTATGATGATGACGATGATGATGATGATGATGATGCTGATGATGATGTCGATGATGATACTGATGCTGATGATGCCGCTGCCGATGATGAGGAGGAGGAGGCGGAGGAGGAGGAGGAGGGAGAAGAAGGAGAAGAAGAAGAGGAGGAGCAGGAGTAGGAAGGTGAGGAGGAGGAGGAGGAGAAGGAGGAGGAGGATGATGCTGATGATGCTGATGATGCTGCTGCTGATGATGATGATGATGATGATGATGATGATGATGATGATGATGATGACGACGACGACGACGATGATGATGATGATGATGATGATGATGATGATGATGATGATGATGATGATGATGATGATGATGATGATGATGATGATGATGATGATGATGAATGATGATGATGATGATGTGATGATGATGATGATGATGATGATGATGATGATGATGATGATGATGATGATGATGATGATGATGATGATGATGAGATGATGATGATGGATGGAGGAGATGAGATGAGGAGGAGGAGGAGAGGAGGAGGAGGCGGAGGAGGAGGAGGAGGAAGGAAGGAGGAGGAAGGAGGAGAGGAGAAGGAGGAGGGAGGAGGAGGAGGAGGAGGAGGAGGAGGAGGAGGAGGAGGCGAGGAGGTGGACGGAGGGGGGAGGGAAGAGGGGTGGAGGGAGGGATGGAGAGGGAAGAGAGGAGGAGGAGGAGGAGGAGGAGGAGGAGGGAGGAGGAGAGGAGGAGGAGGAGAGGAGGAGGGGAGGAGGGAGGAGGGAGGAGGAGGAGGGGGAGGAGGAGGTGGACGAGGGAGGGAGGGAGGGAAGGAGGGAGGGCTGGAGGGAGGGATGGAGGGAGGAAAGAGGAGGAGGAGGAGGAGAAGGGGGAGGAGTTGGAGGAGAGGGAGGAGGAGGAGGAGAGGAGGAGGAGGAGGAGGAGTAGGAGGATGCGGAAGGTGAGGAGGAGGAGGAGAAGGAAGAGGAGGAAGGTGAGAAGGATGAGGAGGAGGAGGAGGAGGAGGAGGAGGAGGAGGAGGAGGAGGAGGAGAAGGACCAGTGCAAAACCAAGAGGCATCAACGATGTTGGAATCAACCCCCCCTCTTCATAGGCCTCCACAACGGTTCAATTTCATCGAGGGAACTGCCTCGTTTGAAGACAACCGTTTGCAGATCCTGATGCATGCCAAGATATGGTTCTCGGGGTTTCAACTCCACCTATCAACCTGACTGCTGCGTCTTGACGATCCGGAATCGCGCCAGAGTGCCATTTTTGGACTTTAGCAACTCGAATCAACATAACTGTTGCACCCGCGAAATCCTGAATCCTCCCAGAACACAATGTCTGGTACGTTGATCATGGGAATCCGTGAAACTCTTACAAATTTTGAAAACGAATGTGCGCGGCGCTAACGCGAGAGCCACATTTCGAAAAGGAACCGCCCTCAAAAACGAATGTGCGCGGCGCTGAGGCGAGAGCCACCCGCCCTCAATCCGTGAAACTCTGGCAAATTTTTAAAGCGAATGTGCGCGGCGCTAAGGCGAGAGCCACATTTTGAAAACCACCCGCCCTCAATCCGTAAAACTCTTGCAAATTTTTAAAACGAAGGTGCGCGGCGCTGAGGCGAGAGCCACCCGCCCTCAATCCGCGAAACTCTGGCAAATTTTTAAAACGAATGTGCGCGGCGCTGAGGCGAGAGCCACATTTTGAAGACCACCCGCCCTCCATCTGTGAAGCTGTTGTCACTTTTTAAGCTTCAGAGTCATAAATGGTGCAGAGGTCACAGGCGAAACGCCCGGACCGCCCTAAAAGGTGGCCTCGGGGTGCGACAGGGAGGAGGTATCCATCAGGAGAAGGAATGGAAGAGGAGGAGGAGGAGGAGGAGGAGGAGGAGGAGGAGGCGGAGGAGGACGAGGAGGAGGAGGAGAAGGACGACGACGACGACGAGGGACGACGAGGACGAGGACGAGGATAAGGAGGAGGAGGAGGAGGAGGAGGAGGGCGGAGGTGAGGGAGGAGGAGGAGGAGGCAGAAGGTAGGGAGGAGGAGGAGGAGGAGAGGAGGAGGAGGAGGAGGAGGGAGGAGAGGAGGAGGAGCGGAAGGTGAGGAGGAGGAGGAGGAGGAGGAGGAGGAGAGGAGGAGGAGTAGGAGGAGGAGGGAGAGGAGGAGGAGGACGACGAGGACGAGGACGAGGACGTGACAAGGAGGAGGACAAGGAGGAGAAGGAGGAGGATGCGGAAGGTGAGGAGGAGGAGGAGTAGGCGGAGGAGGAGGAGGATGAGGAGGAAGCGGAAGGTGAGGAGGAGGAGGAGGAGGAGGAGGCGGAAGGTGAGGAGGAGGAGGAGGAGGAGGAGGAGCAGGAGCAGTGGCCTTTTTCTGCCAGCATCGACTCTTTTTCGGCCCTCGAGTCTCCTCATATGGGAGTGCCCCCCGCGGGTGCCGGCCAGCTGCTGCCCAGGCTTCCTGCTGGCCCTGCAGAGCAGCACGGCCTTTGTTCCGGCCCCTGCTCGCAGCACCGCCGCCGAGGCCGCCGCGTGTCGGGCTGCATTCGGTTCGATCATTACAATAGCCACGATCATGATGACAATTAGGATGGTAACAGCGTCGACGACCGTGACGATGGGGATTGTGGTGGTAGTGGTATTGGTGATGATGATGTTGATGGTGATGAAAAGTGATGATGGTCACGATGACGTTGACCACGATGATGGTTACGATGTTGCTGCTGATGATTCTGGTGGTGATGACGATGACGATTGCGACGACGATGATGATGATGATGATGACGATGAGGGTGGTGGTGGTATCGATGATGATGATGATGAGGAGGATATACTACTGATGATGATGCTGATGACACTGATGCTGACGAGGATGATGATGCTGATGATGATGCTGATGATGATGATGACGATGATGATACTGATGATGCTGATGCTGATACTGATGATGATGCTGCTGCTGATGATGATGATTCTGTGGTTGTTGTTGGTGGTGGTGATAACAATAATAATGGTAATGGTAATGATAATGATAAAGTGCCAGTGGTTCCCTCTGTAATTAAAGGGGGGGGGCTTTGTTCTCCCTCCCCCCCTCCAACCCCTCTGTCAACCGGGGGCATTCCCCTATTTCAAGGCGGGATCACCCGCATGCCAGACGACTCCAAACAGACTTGGACGAAGCCCAACTCAGTGGTACGGATTTCAACTGGCGCAGAAAGGCAACATGATATCAATCCCAACCCGCCAAGTAGCCTCACAAAACGATCGTATCTGTGTAAGGCTGTTCGAGACTATCCAAAAGCCAAGCGTCCTCATTATATGGGTACATCATATCTTGTCTGGGACATAACATGTGCATCCCGAGTGGGATTGGTTACCAAAACGTTATGTGCGGTTGCCGTTATGACAACGGCTGCGGTTGGTGAAACGTTAAACATGCGATGCTCAACAAACTACGTGCAATGCAACGCAGCGCAAGGCACTGTAAAGCGACTTGCTTTCAAGTAGCACCACTCCGTTCAATTGCGACTTAATTCATTGTGACCCAATTCAATGCAACAGCTGTGTGTAACAAATGCCAAACACCCCAGCAGAAACTCAAACAGCACGCAACAAAACGCGAATGCAACTCTGCATCAATCATTGATGCATGTTCGTCGCATTGACAATGCGACGAACATGCAACAGCCACGCGGCAACACTGCAACGCAATGCAACAGCACAGCCTAGCCCACGCAACGGCAACACAACAGCTGTGAATCAGGACGGTGCACAGCCAACGGAAGAGATAATTCGTAAGCCGATCAAAAACAATTATCCCAGGGCGACCCTACCGAGGAGTTGGGGCCCCGAGGAAAGCAACATTAGTAGTAACGGTAAACGCCGTCCTCCTCCTTCTCCTCATCGTCGCAGTTGTAGCAGTAGCGGTAGTAGTAGTAGTAGTAGTAGTAGTAGTAGTCGTAGTAGTAGTAGTAGTAGTAGTAGTAGTAGTAGTAGTAGTAGTAGTAGTAGTAGTAGTAGTAGTAGTAGTAGTAGTAGTAGTAGTAGTAGTAGTAGTAGTAGTAGTAGTAGTAGTAGTAGTAGTAGTAGTAGTAGTAGTAGTAGTAGTAGTAGTAGTAGTAGTAGTAGTAGTAGTAGTAGTAGTAGTAGTAGTAGTAGTAGTAGTAGTAGTAGTAGTAGTAGTAGTAGTAGTAGTAGTAGTAGTAGTAGTAGTAGTAGTAGTACAGCTTAATACCTACATCTATATCTAGACCTACATCCACATCTACACCTACAGCTACTACATCTGCAAGTACACTCACATCTACATCTACACCTACACCTGCATCTACACCCACATCTACATCTACATCTACACCTACATCCACATCTACACCTACACCTACATCTAAATCTACATATACACTTTCGCATTGGTTTTGCTTTTGCTTTGCATTGCCTGTGCTATTGCTCTTGCCTTTGCTTTGGCCTTTGCCTTTGCTTTTGCTTTTGCTGTTGCTGTTGCTTTTACTTTGCTGTTGTTTTTACTTTTACTATGCTATGCTATGCTATGCTATACTGCGCTATGCCATGCTGCGCTATGCTATGCTATGCTATGCTATGTTATGCGAATGCTGCGCTAAGCTAAGCTAAGCTGAGCTAAAGCTAAGCTAAGTTAAGCTACGCTAGGCTAGGCTAATCTAAGCTAAAGCTAAAGCTAAGCTAAGCTAAGCTAAGCTAGGCTAGGCTAAAGCTAAGCTAAGCCAAGCCAAGCTAAGCTAAGCTAAATTAAGCTAGGCTAAGCTAACATGAGATAAGCAAAGCTAAGCTAAGGGGGCGCAACTGGGGGAACCGCGGGGCGGATACTGGGGGAACCGCCCGGGGCGCTTTCCACTGCCCGGCCCCTTTAAGCCCAGAGAGTAAGAACCCGTCTAGGCAGAGCCTAGATAGGGAACCATATCTTCTGATGCACATCAAAGAACGACAAAGACAACGGCATACTTTTTCCCCAGACAGCGCTTGCATTTTGGGGTTCTTATTTCTTTTCTATGGAACTGGGCTGTTTTGACTCCGTCGCCTCCCCGTTGCCGCCTCGTCGCCGCCCGTTTTCTGGGCCAGTGTGGCGGTCTAGTGGCTATGTTGTCACCGTCGCCGCCCCGTCGCCGCCTCGTCGCCGCCCGTGGTCTGGGCCCGTGTGTCGTTCTGGCGGCTATGTTGTCGCAGTCGCCTCGTCGCCGCCCATGGTCTGGGCCTGTCTGTCGATCTGGCGGCTATGTTGTCGCGGTCGACGCTCCGTCGCCGTCTCGCCGCCGCTCTAGACTGCACAACATAGACTGCAGTGCATAGATTGCACAACAAAGATTGCACCGCATAGATTGCGCCATATAGCTTGCACAACATGTATTCTCCTTTCGTGAAAGAGAACAGATTCTATCCCCTCTGGGATTATCACTCCCTCGTCGGTATTGCAATTTACATATGATTTTGCCCCATCGTCCGCTCTAAATATGAATTCATACCATCCCAGGCGAGCCGGTATCCGCCGTCCTGTGCAAACTAAACAAATGCGCGCGCATTCGTTTGTTAAAGAACATCCGTTTTCAATACTCCCTGGCAAAGAATAGGACGAAGTGCACACGCGCGCGTCGTCGCACCCGCATGTCGAAAGCCTGCAACAACCTTTTTTGGTTTCGTAAGGATTTCAAAATCGAGTGTCCAAAAAGCATATAAAACACATGGTTACGCAACACGTATTTTCAAAACAAGCTTGCGCGCGCGCTCTTGCGAATTGTCAAGAGAACCGTCGGCTTTCAAAATGTTCAGCACATGCTACCAAAGGGGATCCGCGCGAACATGTCGAAATCGTTCGAACGCCCTTGCGCTCGTCCTGTCGCGAGAATCCTTTGCAGAGAAACGAGACGAAGTGCACGCGCGCGCGTCGTCGCGCGCGCATGCCGAATTCCGTCAGAAAACTTAGGTTTCATAGCGATTTCAAAAATGCATGTCCGAAACACATATTAAACCATATGGTTTCGCAACATCAGTTTTCCAAGAGGCCTGCTCTCGCGAGCTTGCGAATTCTACAGAATCCACCGATTTTTCAAAATTCTCATGGGCAGCTACCAGCACGCGGGAGCGGACTCCTCCTCTTCCTCCTCCTCCTCCTCCTCCTCTTCCTCCTCCTCCTCCTCCTCCTCCTCCTCTTCCTCCTCCTCCTCCTCCTCCCCCTCGTAGGAGGAGGGGGAGGAGAAGGCAGAGGAGGAGGTGGAGGAGGAAGAGGAGGAGGAGGAGGAGGAGGAGGAGGAGGAGGAGGAGGAGGGGAGAGGGAAGGTTGAGGAGCAGGGGGAGGGGGTGGGACAGATGCGGACACACCGCCAGCACCGCGGCCCGAGCCCCTCCCCTCCCCTCAGGGGCCCGGGCTCGCGCCCGCGCTGCCCCCGCAGAACTGGCCTCCGAGGTCCGTTTGTGTGCGCCTCTCGCCTGGCCCTGCCTCGCTCCTCCCCTTCGCTCTACGCGCATGTTGTATGGCTGACTTCGGCGGCGAGGAGAAGGGAAGGTGAAGGAGGAGGGGGAGGAAGAGGAGGAGGAGGAAGAGGAGGAGGAGGAGAAGGAGGAGAAGGAGTAGGAGGAGGTCTTTTCAGAGGCAGCGGGGCTGCTTGGAAGCTTTCTGAGGAGGCCCGCCCCCTGTCACTCCCTCCCCGGGGCTCGCCGCCGATAAGTAGATCGCCTGGGCAGATCATCCACGACTGCACCACGAACGAGCCCTGGGGCTAGCCATCGCTCGTGCCCTCCTGGGCACGGGCGGGCTTCCCATCGGAGCGCGCACGACTCTGGCGTTCCGCTTTAGCTTACGCTTCCGCTTCCGCTTCCGCTTCCGTTTCCCTCCTCCTCCTCCTCCTCCTCCTCCTCCTCCTCCTCCTCCTCCTCCTCCTCCCGCCTCTCCTTCCCCTTCCCCTCGTCCCCCTCCTCGTCTTCGCCTCACCAGCAGGCAGTGGCCCTCGGCCTGGCAGCGCCCACCTTCATGGGCGCGACGGCCGCCGTCGCCGGGGAGCCGCCCAGCGTGGGGGACCACTGGCGCCGTCGTCGTCGTCGTCGTCGTCGTCGTCGTCGTCGTCGTCGTTGTCGTCGTCGTCGTCCGAGGATCGAGCTCCGCGGTTTTAGGTTTTGGTATGCGTCTGGCCCTCCTTGGGCTTCCTGGGGGGCCCTCGTGGCCGCGGCTGGGGCCGCCCGGAGATTTTGGCCAGAGCGCGCCACAGGCTGCTCGGAGCCCTGACGTCCAGCGCATCGTTACCTTCTGTCCTGATGTTTGCCCTCCATGTCGTACTTCGGTGGCGAGTGATGGGGGGGAAATGAGAAGGAGAAGACCTTCTCCGAACCTTCTGAGAAGGCCTGCTCCTTCTCACTTCCCCCCCTCGTTCGCCGCCGACTAGCGCATTGGAGGCCAATCGCCGATCTATCCGCGATGTATCGCCGATTCCAGGTCGATGTGTCCCCCCCTCTGCCTATTCCCCCCCTATCCTTGCCCCTCAAGCCTGGACGGCTGGGGCACTGCTATTTTCGATCCTGAGGTTTTCCCTCCATCTCGTACCGGGGAGGTTTGGTAGCAAGTCATGGGAGCCTGGTATGTCCCTTGAATTCCGTCTTCAGCGTCGATTAGCGTCGATTAGCGTCTGGGAGTCGATGAGATAGCGCCGATTTAGCGTCGGCTAGCGTCGATTAGCGTCGACTTCGCGTCGACTAGCGTCGACTAGCGTCGATTCGCTAGAGCCGACAAGATGGTCTGGAAGGCTCCCATGAGTTGCCACCGAAGGGGGTTGTGTTCAGGGCCTGGGACCGTCATACAGTCAACCCGAATAGTAGGGATGAGCAATTTTCCAAGGGTTCTTCGGCCCATCCTTGGCCGCTTTCGCTGGCCGCGCCCCGCTCAAAGTGTCGACATGGCCTTCCATGGCCCTTGCATCCTTATCGTGCGTCCTTAGTATGCGGGTTGACTGTAAAACGACCCTGGATGAAAAGCCGGCTCCAGGGAAGGGGTCGAGAGTTCTGAGGGTTGCGGATTCAAAAACAAGCCGCCAGAGGTTTGGGAAATGAGAGATAGAGTGAGGAGGACCACGGCGTCGTTACAGTACACCAGACGGCTTTAGCACGCGACTGTTACTGAGGCAGGGGCTTCCCAGCTGGCCTGAAAGACTTTCCAGCACCTGCGTCTGTTCGATGCATGGTCTTTGTCGCTAGCCAGGGTTCGTTTCCAGCATGCGGTTTTTGTCAAGCAGGAGCTGACCAGCAACCCACGGAGTAGCTCCAGCACTTGAGGTTTTTACCAAGGCAAGCCACTTCCAAATGCCAAGGGGCTTCCCCAGCACCTCAGAATTCTTGACGCTTCGCTTGGGTGATCGCCCCCTGGCGCTGTCGCCCCCTGGTGCCTACTCTCCCAGCCGTGCTGGCGGCGTCCATCCCCGCCAGTCCGGCTTCCTTTCCGCGCATTTCGCTGTTCTCTGCGACGCTCACGTCGTGACCGTGTGGCCATGGGCCGGGCCCACAGGTGCCATCGCCTCTGGGCCGGTTCGTTGACCTTGCTCGGGACTGGTGTGCCCCACTGGATACGTGCGTGGCGTCTCGGAGTGGTCCAGCCTTCCGTCGGACGCTGTGCTTCCATCTTCGTTCCGTCCCAGCCGACCAGGCAGGTCTACGCCGTCGACACTGCCCTGGCCCCGCCGACCTGGCAGGTCTATGCTGTCGACACGGCCCTGGCTTTTGGCGCCCCCTGGCGACTCGACCAGTGTGTACCTTGCCTTTCCCCACCACCGTGTCTGTGAGGATCGTACGTGCAGGTTATCTCTACCTCTATCGGCGAGCACCTCCACCGGAGTGGACTGACGCCGCAGCGCGTAGCACAGAATTCCCTGGCATTTTGCCACAGGGCTGCACGATGCCCGAGCTTCCCTGGGCGTTGCAGTTCAGCCAGCCAGCCCCCCGCCGCCGCTGCCCCAGCTGCTGCTTTGTGAGCTGGCCCTGCCAGCTCGTGCTTCGCCCAGCAGCTAATTAGGTTTGCCCGTCGGCCCGGACACCCTTCTCGCCGCCTGCCCGCGCGGCCGCGCCCCCCCCCCAAAAAAAAACGTGTCCCCACCAGCAGGTTCGCGCGTAGCCCGCTCGACCTCCGACGCCGCTGGCGCGTCCGCCTGCGGCCTCGACGAAAAAGTGTCCCCACCAGCTCTGCTGCCTAGTCGCGGCCCGACTAGTGTTCGGACGGCTTTCGACCCGCCTCGCGAGCCTGTTGGCCAAAAAATGTCCCCACCAGCCCATCCAGAACCGATTTACTCATTTCTTGGCCTCGTGTAGGCATTGCAAAGGCCGACCTTGCAATAGTCACCTCGATTGCTTTTGTCGGGGGAGTGGGGAGGGCGGCGACATTTGTTGTATGATTCGAGATATGTCGAACTGCCACGTCTCTGTCCTCGGGGGGCAGCCACGATGCGGGGTCCCACGATGATGCCGATGCTTTCCCGAGAGGGTTTGGAACAAACGTCAGCCCGTCCAGCGGCGATGCCCGGGCGAACAGGTCGGCCTCGCGCCGTTCTGGCTCTGCGGGGAGGGGGTCCTTCTTAGGCTCGGGGCTCTGCCGGGCCCCGCGTGCGGGCGCGCGGTTTCCCGCTCGTCCGCGCCCTGGCCCGCGCGCCCGCGCGCTGGGAGGTCTGAGGCGCCTCTCGGGCTTCTCGGGCCTGCCAGCGGCGACGACAGGGGCGAACAGCCCAGGGGAGAGCAACGCGCGTATTCGGGGATGACCCATGTCTTCGAAAAAGGCTCCCGGGCGAATGCGTGTAATGCCCGCCCCTGGGCTATTCCCCCCGATCGTCGCCGCCAAGCCTGCCTTGGCCCCCATGGGTCAAAGAAGAGGGGGAATCAACTTAGGTCCCCCCCATCGGACGCCCCAGTATGGCCTCCTGGGAGCCTCTTAAGCCGCTCTTGGGCGCCTCTTG